GATCCACGTGGACCCCACGATAGCTACGAAGGTTAAAGAATATGGATGAGAGAAGTTAAGAGTATTCGAAAGAATTTATTATCAACAGTCGTCTTCTACTTTTATGTTGTTTCTCTTATCTCCTTGCTCGTGATGTTAATTCGTGGGAGAGTCAAAATGCTGATTCATAAAATTACGATAAGAGGTTGACATTGAAGAAAGACAACTATTACCTACATCATGCGATCACATATCTTGAGGGTGAGGGTGAGGGTGAGTTTCTAACATAGATTCCAAGCTAATCTGCGACGTGTTTCGTCCTTGCTTAAGGGACTCATCAGGCAAGTTCAGAATCGAATGAATTCTACATATAAATATTCTAGAGTAGATCTTAAAGCTAAAAGATAAGCTTAGAGTCAAATAACAAGTAGTTAGAGACTCTGAACAAATATAATTAGCACCAGATCAGTAAGTCTAGATATTTGCATCCGTAGAAGTTAGAAAGGGTGAGTTTCTAACATAGATTCCAAGCTAGTTTGCGACGCGTTTTATCCTTGCTTAAGGGACTTATCAGGCAAGTTTATTGAATTTTCGAGTTTTTGATTGTTTAACTTTTCGGTATAGTTTCATGGGTAAAATGTTTGACCATATGTTATTTTATAAAAAGTTTATAAGTAATATGCATAGTTTCCAACGGATAATGGCATCTGTAAGAATTTGATTTAATTAATGGAAATAGAAGAATATATGCGAATAATTGGAGGCTGTAGGTGCATGAATTGATCGACCAGTACCAATAGATGTATTACCCGATTAGCTTTTAAATGTATTGTCAAGTTGCTGAATACTAGTTGAGGTATTTAAAATAAAATGTGATGAAAACTCATGCGGTATTTATTTGTGCTTGGAGAAAGTTTTGCTGGTACGCATTTCGGCGAGGGTCCTTAGTCTATGGTGTTGGTAGTCATTTCATGAGAATTCAGAGTCCTTTAGTAATGGTCCAGTTGTGTAGTAAAGTTGAGATGACGTTTCATGAGTTTTGAAAGGTCGAGAAAGGCAAGTGTTGGTCTGGTATGTTGTAGACGCTCGTAAGACGTGATGTAGAGGTCAGTTTGATAGTCTGTGATAAAGCCAGTAGTTCATGATGGTAAATTATCGGAAAGGAAAGGGATGTAGTGAGAAAGTTGTTCTGTGAATGAAGATAGTATGCAGTCCAAGGGGGAAAAGGCGAATTTTGGGGATTTTATAGATTTTCAAAATCCATAAAATCCCGATACAATCTTAAAATCCAGAAATTTCAGAAATCCAATCACGATACCAGAAGTATGATATAGATCTTTGAGGTTTTTAGTAAAATTCAAGGAGGTTGAATCATGAAATACATCTGTGTGGTATTTGGTGATTGCGATTATTTTATTAATGCCCCAGATTCAAATCTCTCGATGAAATGATCTGAAGAAGAGAAGCAGATAAAAACATCACAAAAGAGAATTATTAAACTTTAGTTTATTTCTGCGACGCTTATGTCGGAAGTGTGTTCGTCATGTATTCTAACAAATAATTCAATTTTCTCACTTTAAACAAGAGAAGAGACCCTTCCTTTCAATAAAGAGACGATGGAAAACTGCAGATCTTAATTCGAGAAATTCTTCGATATGTATAGTAATGAGTCAGGCTGACAGTTAAAAATTATGTCGGTTTATTATCATATCGTTGTTCTACTACTCAATTCCAACAGCTCTTGATTCAACATAGCATCTGAATAACTATGAAAACAAATAGTCCCTACTGAGCCCCCTTCCCTTCAAAAAATATCAGTTTTGGTCAAAACTTTCGAAATTGAGTTAGTTGCATGGGAAAATAGTCCATCTTCAGATCTTTCAGAAATTATATGATTTTTCTCTCAAACCTCTCTTTTAACTAAAAGTTTTGATGATTTTCGTGATCGTCTCCTCGAAAAAATCATATTTTTTCGTTTTTTCTCGACAGGTGAGCTCGACAACGCACTTCCAAGAACACTTAACCATAGTACGCTATAAAGTCAAATATTTTTTGTTTAAGAGAGCGTGAAAGACGGCAGATACTCTGACGCTCTAGTTTTTTAAACTCTTATCTATCAAGCGAAGAAAAAGGTCGAAACTTTCATTCACTCGAAAAACTAAAAAGTCTAAAACATGGAGCCTTGTAGCATCTGCTGTATTTCACGTTCTTTTCAACAACAGAATATTTGACCAAACTGACATTTTTTAAGGGAGATCTTAATGAGACACGTGCACCGATGCTTCACAAGCCGTTCACCGTAGACACATCTGTACTATTGACTGATGTGTTGTCTTTTCATGATAATAGCTTCTATCAAATGGAATGGATCATTGTAGAAGCATCTGAAGCAGCTATTGAAAGTTCAACGCAGTCGAAGTGTTTATTCATTTTGGAATACAGAAGATGTGTTTGATATTCTTACGAGTCAACGCATGCTCTGTCTTGAACAGTATCAAACGATCAATTTGCCTCGAAGCTGATGATCACACCTTCATGGTGAAGCCAGGTTGTCGTAGCAAATATTCAATATCTGTATCAGCTTCTTCATCAGAAACATGAAGAACATCTGTATACGAAATCAATTCGAGAAGAAATTTCGAGTAGTCTCGCCCGATGTGTGGGTGTGAGGTGGGTGAGGGTGGATCTAACGAGAACAGATTGACCTATATTCACTCAAAATATAAATTAATCTGCTAATCTCAACTCTTGCTTCTTCAGCAGTCGATCAATTTAATTTCAAAGTAAAAAATATTCAAAACAAATGTAATGCAGTTTGTTTAGTTTGCCGACGCGTTTCATGTTTATTAATCAAAATTTAGAAACACTCATCAGGGCACTGCATTACAAAGGTTGTAAAAAATGAAAAAATGGTTGAAAATAGAAAAAATGGTTCAAATAAGAAACAACAAGAATGAAAGTGTTTTACAGATGTCAGGGGATTTAGTAATAAGTTGTTCAAAGGTAAGTAATCTTGAAATCCTGGATTATGATTTTCACAAAGTATCAAGATGACCTGGTACAATGATAATGAGTGAAACTATCGTTGTTAAACACTGTATATTTATAACCGGTTCCTTGGGTTAACTAGAAGTTTAATTTAAAACAGATAAAGGTCATCGTGACATGTGTTTAACAGGTGTGTTATTTGTGAAAATTCAATTGGGTTATGTTAATAATCGACTTTTGAAATAGTCTAATTCAGATATTAGTGTTAATTTCAGTTAATTTTTGTTAAAGATAAATATTTTAAAATAATCTAATTCAGATATTAATGGTGATTTTGGTTGAATTTTTGTTAAAAATGATCAGACAAATCTTTATTATCGAATAGGATATTTCCTTCTCCTTAACTAATAAATTTTTATTTTATAGTAATGAAAAATGTTTTAAGTTTGAAAATAAAATTCGAAATATTGAAAGATTTTTAATTAAAATATTTAATAATAAAAGATGGGTTTATTAATAAAATCTGCTGCTCGATTTTCAATAATAAAATAAATTCTTTAAATTCTGTGTTAAACGAAATTGCAATCTCGAAATAAGAGTTTATTCATATTTATTGTACAAGCTTTTTGAGGTATTGAATGAGTATTCGATTGAAACTTCTATTGAGATAAGGTCATCTTGACATATGAAGGTGGCATTATTTCCAAAGCTCGTATATAAGGTCCAAGTCGATGCTCATTCGAATGATATATATCTATATATAAAGTGAAAATATAAAATTCTAAGTGATTAAGGTCACCGATCTATTGTTGCAGGTCATCATGACATATTGGTGAACGACATAATTTAAGGTCAATGTAATCGATAAGAAATCATTTTATAATGGAATGTTACTTGCGATACATCATTCGTGTAGGTTGACCAATAAGGAACTTTTATGCAAAGCCCTCCACTAAAGGTCAGGTTGACCTGCAAGATTTAACCTTGTTTTTGCCTTTTCAGCAACCGATCACTGTGATTTCAAAGTAAAAGAAATGTAGTTGTTCAAATTTGCCAGGAGGTCGCTGTGACCTAGACATGCCAATTAATTCCTTATACTACCATCTGGTCTGTGCTATATATCCCATTGATGTCGATCCTTTGTTCAATCTCAAATAATTAAAAATAATACCAATTCATTTGATTAGGTAAATTTATTCGAAGAAAAGGTCATATCGACATTTGGCAAGGTAGATGGCAGGAGTAGTTTATTAAGGTCATGTTAACCTCTTAAATTTGAATAAATTGTTTCAGTGATAATAGCTATTTTTAAAAAAAAATAATATGACATCGATAAACTTGAAGATACAATGGAATTAATTGAAAGTTTTTATTGAATTTCTGGTTAATCTTTATAAAAAAATCTCATGTGACAAAGGAATGATCGAAGTCATGTTGACATCTATTTTTAGGCCGAGCTGACATTTGACTATATTTTAATTTCACTACTTCGTTTTCAGGTCTCGTTGACATTCAGCCGTACATTAGATGATAAAGAGATTACGTTCACTGTTTTTGTTTAACTCCGTGCTCTTGTGTGTACTAATTTTAATTGTAAGTTATTAACGTTTCGAGTTCCTAATACAGGGTTGATACCGTTAATAGGCGAGCTCGAGAAATACTTTTTCATAAGACCATAAAACGAATAGGAAAAGTGCGCATACTGATAAAAAAAAGTTTTTTTTATATATTGGTATCAATTTGTTGTTCAATATAAAAATTATTTCGATAATATCGATCCAAATAAGATAATATCAATTCATTTTATTTGATTTAATCCGGTAGAATAATCCGAAGAAATGGTCATGTTGATATTTGGTAGGGTAAATGGTAGGAATAGTTTGAGGTCAGGTTGACCATCTTCATCCACGGAAGTTATATAGTTTGAGACGCCAAATGTCCACAAGTTTTTAGTCAATAAAAAAGCCGAATGAGGTTTTATGAGCACATCAGTTCGAGTTAATGAATGAATAGCCAAAATCACAGGGATCACTCTAACTCTTATTCATGAGGTCAAAGTAAAGTTTATTTTTTGTATGGATTAAATGTTGTTGTAAATTATTAGCATTTCGTGTCCCTAATATAGGTTGGATATCATTGATTGGAGAATTAGAAAAATATTTCTTCCAGAGATTATGAAATCGGATTGGAAATGTCCTCATATTAAAGCAATAAGTGAAATGAACGAATAAAACTTCTTCATAATCGATTGGTAATTTCTCGCGATTCTCCTTAGAAGAGTTAATTCTCATACGAATTTGATTATAATTTTGAATTGAAATTAGATCGTTAATTCTGAATTTCTGTAGTACTAGGTCAAATTGTTTCTGAATCAATTCATTAGGATATTTATTCAATAGAAGTCCGATTCGGAAGGCTTCACGTTCATTAATGAATAGGTGAAAGGATGAACAATATCGAATAGCTCTTAAAAATAATACAAAAGCAATATTCTTCTTCATATGCATAGGATGAATACTATTGAATGGTAAATAATATGGTTCATACGATGGTTTATGGTAAACTTGGGTTATTAATTGACCTTTATTATTTTCCATAAGTAAATCAAGAAAATTAGTTGAATATCCAATATGAGCTTTTAGTTTTATGTTTTCATCTATTTGATTCCAATTTTCAATTTGTTTCTTTAAATGTCTTTCTGGCCAATTTATCGCTAAAAATATATCATCAATATATCGAAGATAAAGACCACCACTATTGTTCACTTGATTGACTATTTTTCGTTCAAAAAAGAACATATAACAATTTGCTATAGTCAAAGTTAAGGGAGATCCCATAGCTTCACCTCGAATTTGATGATAATATTTACCATCATAATAAAAATAATTATTTTTCATCACGAATCGACTTAAACGAATTATTGTTTCAGTCTTTAAGCCAGCAATTTGTTGCAATTTCAAAGAATCAAGCATTTTCTTTAATGATAAAATTCCTTCGATTTGTGGAATCATAGTATATAAATCTGTGACATCAATTGTACACAATAATGTTTTATCGTTTAATTTATGTTCAGACCATTTTTCTAATTTTTTGATTAATTCAAAACCAGAATCGATTGTTGTCTGTTTAGCCATTTCATTAAATAATGGACGTAAAAGATCATCAAGAAATTTGGAAATTTTTATTGTAGGATGACGAAGTCCAGATATAAATGGACGAAGTGGTGTACCTAGTTTGTGAGCTTTGGGTAGATAATATAAATGTGCTAGCTCGACTTCATTCGGTTTAATACATAACAGTTCATACTGTTTTTGTGTAATCCATTTAGCTAATCGAAGATCTAATAAATATTTATTGGTTCGTTGAATTAGATCGGGTAAGGGATCATTAGTTCCCAAACATCGATAGGCTTGAGTCTTTTCCATATATTCTTGAGATTTCTTTTGATAATCTTCTAATTTACCCAGATGGAAGACTTTAGATTTATCTGTTTTTTGAAGAATAACATTATTTAATCGAAATTTATGCCTTAATCGTTTTACTAAACGAGAGTAATTCTTCTTTCTCTTAGAAATAATTTTTACAGATTGAGTGGGAACAATTGATTGACTAGGAATCTCGAGGATAAAATGATTATCTTTTGAATTATTTAGGCATCGTCGATGAAGAGGAATAGGAGTAGCATGTAATTTTTGTAATAACAGGTCTAATTCAGCAATAAATTGATTAACTGGACGACCGGGGCATACTTTCTTTTCATGAAATTTTTGTTCAATTTTTCGTTTTAAAGTTGCCAACTCAATTGTACGTCTTCGAGCTGCTATAGCTGGCTCATTAAAAATAAATTTTGGACCTAACTTCAATAATTTTTCCTCTTCATCTGTAAGGTAAATATTTGCTTGATTAATTATAGCTGGAGTAAGAAATCCTCGCCCAGCGAACGTGTCAGAGCCGGGGCAACGACCACTGGTTGATCGGGATTGTCCGGTTCGCCCTCGACTCGCTGTTAGTCTAAAAAATAGATCGATTGTTCAGCTTCTAAATTCATCCGTTTTTCACGTAATTCATGATAACTTTTAAAAGCAGCAATGGATGGTTGAGAATCAATTCTATCTTGATCATTTTCTTTTGGGAATCCTTCAATAATTTGTTTGATTTCATTCAACACCAATTCTTGTTCACGAGTTAATGCTTGTATGTAGACAGTCATTGCTTTTACGCGGTAATCTTTTGTCACTTGTCTCATTTGATTGTACAATTCTTGAGCTTCTTCTTGTCCGATCACTGACTCGTCAATTTTGAAATTAAAATCAGTTTTGGCAATAAAATTTGGTGGTAAATCATATTCAACTCGTTTCAAGGCAACTTGTAAATTTTTATTCGTTGTCGGCCATAACTTCATCTTTGGTTTCAATGTTAAATGAATATTCCATTGTAATGGAGTAGCAATTTGTTCAAAATCTTGTAAGGCTTTGAATTCTTCCATCTGCATTTTCGCCATCTTAATTTTATTTTCAGATAATTTCTTGACATGTTGTGTACATTGATGAATATATTTAAGAATTAATTTTTCAATTCGATCGACTGGGTCACGTCGACCTACTGTCGATTCAGTTGTTATTACTGGTGTTGCAGTTATTGTTGAAATAGTGGTATTAGTGGTTGTTGTAGCTGGTGGAACAATAGGATTTGTTAATTGATTCCAATAAATATTCAGTTGAATTTGTAAATCAGATATTGTGGCATTTGCTTGGGCAATTTTGGCTAATAATTGGTTGATCTTCTTTTGTACGAATCGAGTGCAAGTGACATCATCTCGTCTCTTCGTACGTTGTATGATTTCTTTGCTCCAATGTTTTTGTTCCATACCCATTTTTAAATAAGCTTGCCATACTTGTAATTCATAATTATTACGGACCCATTCATCATAGATTGGTGTTGCAGCAAGAACATAGGCTTGATTGCCTCGACTATTGATAGAAGTGGAACAATTCTTTTGTAAATAAGACATAATACGATTGTGTTCCAAGTAGAGGCGAAGCTTTTGTTTCTTCGATGACTTAACATTCATTCGGCTATTGTTAGCATTTGGGTCACTTTGTTGTTCTTCAGTATCATCAGGACCGACTTCATCCAATAAGACATTGAATCGATTAGTATTATCGATCATTTCTCGATATTGCCTTTGTCGAACACGACGTTGTCGACGACGATATGAAGATGTTGTATTTTCACCTTGGTGTTGTCGACCGTTTCTTTCTTGTCGTCGTGGTACTAGTGCTTCACTCTGATCACTCACTCCAAATGGTTGAGTGATATCAGTTGCAAAATTTTGGCGTTGGGGCAAGGCATCGATTGGTGTAACTGGTCGAGTATTTGGCGCAGTTATTGCTGCCGATACAGGGTTGAAATTAGGTGAATCGTCTCGAAGTTCAGGAGGCATATAGTCATTTAATCGTAATACTCGTGGACCATTTTGATTGCGTTGTCTTGATCGACTTCGTTGTGGTTGAATCGATGGTCGACTATTAAAACCATAGCCACCATTATCGTAACGACGATTAACACTTTGACTTCGAATATTTTGACGATAATTATTTTGACGAAAGTTATTATTGCGGAAGATTCGATAATTATTACGATTACTTGGAAATGTATCCTGATTCATTCTATCATTTCTTCGATTCATGGGATAATGATTATTTCGGTAATCGTCATTTCGATTGTTATTGTCCCGGTAACAATTATTTCGATAATTCGTTCTTCGATAGTTCATCCTTTGATAGTCCATAGGATTTGCTACTTGATAACTTATATTGTTAGTTCTTCGATAAGGCATACCATTGAAGGATGGATAATTCATATTATTATTATTGTTGTTTCCTATTGATTTATCCTTATTACCACTATGTCATATCAATCAATTTTATCCGATTTGATTGATAATTATCTCAACTTATTCAAC